GCGACGAAACCAACAAAAGGCAACGACAGAGCAAGCGAGACACTACAATCTGCGAAGAAGATCGTGGCAACCGGTCGTGGGAGACAGAGTTCTGGTGAGAGAACACTTCTTGTCTAAAGCCGTGGACAATTTCGCGGCTAAGCTTGCACCGAAATACGGCGGACCACATCGCGTACTAAATTTTATTTCGCCTGTGATCGTCGAACTCGACAAGGTGCACAAAGGGAAAAGGAGGACAGCGCACGTGAGTGATCTCAAACCATTTTATGAGAACAACGCGAAAGGTGAAAATTCTCCCGTGGCATCGTCTGAGCCTAATTCGGTGCACAGGGGCGAATAGGTAAATTTCAGCAGAGACTGAAGTGTGTGAACTCGGCAATTGGCAGCAGGGCAGCAACTGCCATGACAGCGGAGACCCTGAACGATGAGAAGCTAGCCGAAGAATCCTAAATCAGATGAAGAAGAAGATGAAGAATAAGAAGAAGAAGAAGAAGAAGAAAAAAATAAAGGTTCCAAGGGAAAACAATGAAAGATGTAGATGGCACAAAAGAAAAATTATAAAAGTAAAAAAAAATAAAATAATAATGCAAGAATTTATTTAATCGACCTTTAGTTATAGATGTTTTTTCTGGTTTCTTTTCGAGCCTGAGGTCAAGTTTTTATTTTTGTTTTTACTTCAAATATAAGGATCGAGTCTACACGCAACAAAAAGGACTACCTATGGGATCGCCACTTTCACCAATAATTGCAGACATAATGAGGAGGACCTACTGGACGAATGTATGAAAAAATTGACAACCAAACCTAGGCTAATAACCAAATATGTTGACGATATATTTGCCATCATCAAAAAGGACCAGGTGGACGTAACACTAGAAGCATTGAACAGCTATCACAAAAATATTAAATTCACGAAGGAAGAAGAACATGAGAACCGATTACCGTACTTAGATGCTCAACTCACAAGGACTAACAACGTAATTAAAATAAATTGGTACCAAAAACCCACTGCGTCCGGACGACTACTGAACTATTTTTCAAAACATCCAAAAAACATGATATTCAACACGGCATACAACTTTATCAGACGAGTACTCACAATAAGCGACCCAATATTTCACAGAAGTAACAACGAAATCATCTCCAAAATACTAACCATGAATAGTTTTCCACAACAGGCCATCAAAAAGCTACTACATAAATACTATGGACAACATAATCATAACAAGGACAACAAAGAACAGCCAAAAATATGGAAGTCGATGACCTACGTGCCAAAAGTGGCAGACAGAATGGCAAAAATTAAATTCTATGACAAAGAAAAATATAAAATTGCATACAGAATGGACAATACACTTAAAAAACTATACAGCAACACAAAAAACAAAATTGAAAAAATGGACCAAAATAATGTAATATATAGCATAACATGTAATGGAAATACGCAAAACAAATGTGAAAGAATCTACGTTGGAACGACAAAAAATAATTTAAAAACTAGGATTAGTGGACACAAATCAAATCTTAGATCGCGCAATAATGGAAACACACAACAAACAGCACTGTCGGCCCACTGTGCAGAACTCTCACATTATCCAAATTTTGATAACGTTAGCATATTGCAAAAGGAGAGCAATTACAACAAGAGACTGACGATAGAAATGCTACATATAACTAACACACCGACAGAATTAAGAATAAATTACAAAACGGACACGGAGTACGTCGCTCATGCTTACAGACACCTGATCGATAAAACAAAAAGAATACAAACCAAAATCAGTCGAAGTCCAGCCACTTGACAGCATAGGATGAAATCATCTACGCAAAAATAATTTATATTTTCTTTGGTCTTTTGTGTTTTATGTTAGTTTTGCTTTTAAGTTTTTCATTTTTCTTTTAATGTAAGTCGATTGCCCCCTTTTTGTTGAAATTTGTTGTATTCTAAGTGTTTTTGTATTTAGAGTCCCTGAAGATGGCTTTCGTTGAGAGCCGAAATATCGGACACTTGTAAAAACAAAAATAAAAACTTGACCTCAGGCTCGAAAAGAAACCAGAAAAAACATAAAATAATAATAATAATTGTCATTATAATATTAAAATTAATGATAACAACAGCAATAGTAATAATAATTATAAATATTAATAATAATTATAGTTATAAATATTAATAATAGCTAGAAATATTAATAACAACAAAATAATACTAATTTAATAATGTAATAAGAAAAGGAGTAATACCGCAATGGCAACCCGAAATCTACTCCAGTTCACATCAACGCTACAAAACTCCCTTTTGGATAGTCAGAAACCCCGACACCAAATCACAGCTGTGCGAGGATGACAAATAAACAAATAAAAAAAAAAAAAATATGCAATGTGAAAGTGAAACGGCAGCAAAATTATCGAAATTTTGCTGGAAAAGTGCCGGAAAACTAGGAAAATACAGTTGGTCGTGCAATGGCCACTGTCGGTAATAAAAAGGATGTGCCGCGGGCGCCAAGGCACTAGTCCGCGAAAAGATGGAGCAACAGCAGCAGCAACAGGCAAATTTTGTAGCCGAACAAGTGGAGGGCGGCGTTTTGCGCGTACGTATAAAGCGCCTAACAGAGCACGAAATTCGGTGCTATAGTAGAAGTGACAGCAGCGGTGGAGACCAGTCGAGTAATTCGAGCGACAACAACAGCACCAGAGGCGAGCACGACGACACTGGCCAGCCAAGTGACTCCAGAGAGGGCGGCAGCAACAGCGGCAGGCAACAACAACAAAGAGTCGGCGTCGAGGACATCGAAAGCCTCGAAAGTACGCAGCCGTTCGTACTGCCCCAAAATAGTGAAGATGCGGAGATGGCAGCCTATTCGGGTGCAGAGTACTTGGCAAGCAATACGCCAATTTTGACTAGCGAAGAGGAGGAGATGGAGGTCGAACCCTCAAACTTAACGTACTATCTGATGACAGCGAGCCGAACAGTGAGTGCGAGGGCGAAGTAGAGCGGGCGCCAAAACCCATAACAATTTCGTCCGACGAGGAAGAGGAGTATGCCAAAAGGCAGGGCGAATTCTCCATCGCTACACAAGACGCCAGACACCTCGGTAACGGGTACGTAGAGTATGCGCGCCATATCGATATGCGCATCAGGCTATACGACCCGATGGCATCGGAAGAGCCACATCCACCGCCGCAACAGCTGTGCCTTAGTGAGGGCGCGATCGAGGCGTGTACGTTGGCGAGCGGTGGACAAAGGGATTTTGTGGAGGAGGCGTCGGCGGAAGCGGATTTCAGTGTGGCAGCAGATGCCGACTTAATGGCAGAAATAGAGCGTTGGCTAGAAGAGGCTGAGCCGAGTGTGCCATCGGAGTGGCAGGTCCAGCCGGACGTAGGTGTGTTGCCGGAAGAGTTGGTGGCGGAAATTGAGTCGCACGTAAACCATCAGCAACAGAAGCGGCAGTCATTCAGACGCATCGTAAACGGCCAGGCGTACAGAGTACGAATTACCAAAACTGGCAAGGTGACCGTAGGTCTTGCTGCCGGGAATAAGGAGGGAGTGTGAGGACCCCGGATCCTGTGGCCCTGGGCCCCACAACAACTATTTTATATACATATATAATTTGAATTAAAAGATATGTACCATTGAATTGTATATTTGAAATTGTAAAAAACGCTTCGGATATATGTATGTACGTATACTTATTGAATTGCATCTATTTGAATTATACTAGTACATGTGTATGTATACACTAACATATTTTGAATTATTAGTTTGTATGTACCATACCTACATAACATGTATAAAGCACAAACAATTGTAATGAGGATAACTGTCTGAGGATGGACAAAAATGGTATAAAAGGAGCAGTGCTAACAAGCCTTGTTCATTAGCTAGGCATACGTGGCACGCGTCGCAACGTGGGTCACACGGGTAGTGAAAGAGGGATCAACCTCCGAGACTATTATTGTATATTCGAAGTGGGCTTTACCCACTGAGACTGGTGCTAGCTGTAGGATTTAAACCTACTCTAGTTCTATACTTAAGAGAGTAGATATAGCGAAAGTATAGCGAATAAAGAGGCTGTAAACTAGAAGCGAGTTTGTTCTCATTTCTTGCGGAGATATGGTGTTTACTCCTTACAGGACCCTGGACAACCGAGAGCTACGCCCAGCACTCGGGAAAGTCCGTTACAACAGTTGCTGTTGAAAACTAACAGTTTTGCACAAAATTGTGCTTTTTTATACCCGCGAGCAAAAGAGCTCAAGAACTTTACCGAATCTGAACAAAGGTACACAAAAGAGAAATGTTTACAAGTTATGAGAACGTTAACTGAGAATTCTGACAGTACAACGGAACCACAAATTGCGGATAGACCTTTGTTACCTTCAGACAACTTTGAGCTGTTTTCAGGTCTTCTTAAACAACCTACCTTTGTGAGCAGAACTGATAAAGCTACTGCAGAGCTCCGGGGATATGAAAATATTGAGGTATATTTTCATATGGACTTCGATATAATTAATTGGTAGGAGGTACACAAATGCGAAATGCCACTGCTGCATAAGAGGAAGAGTTTTTTCTTCTGCTGGAAATGTTATTTCTGACAAAGATGCCAGCTTTTGTCAAATGATGATGCCCTTAATCAGTTGATATTTTTGCATTATAATATGCAGTTAGGAAACCAATAAAATTAACAAAAATTGTCTTTACAAATGTTTTTTCTTTGATACTTTCATTACGGCAGTTATGCCATGCACTTGCTTTGCACATCAAGCACTTCTTATTTGAATCGAGCACTTGATAGTGTGAATTACTTACTCAACCGACAATGTTTTTTCAATGCTATCACACGTTATGTTTGGAAATAAATGAGTGCGAGTGTGTGCAGATGTGAAAAGAAAGCGAGTGACTTAAAATGTATGTATATTAACATACTTTCGTGCATGAACTATTGGCATACATTCACACATTTTTATGCACAAAAAGGCACTCGTCCAGGGTTGCCGTTTTGGGCTTTTCCTACCAAAATTGGTAGATTTTTTTCTCGTTGGTGGGATGGTAGCACGCTTAAAATTCTGGTGGGTTTCTTTGCTCATACAACAGAAAACATTTCTGGTTTGTTGTAGTGTGTCACTTTGTCAGCATTGAGGGGCTTGCCAAATGGGGACAATATCAGTTTTACCCTCATTCTGTTTCTTGGGTGGGTCCAACTGTTTGCCAAATACTTTCGGCGATTCTCTGAACTCCGTATACGCTATAAAAAGTTGTATCCACTGGGTATCTAAAAGGACATCAAGTGATTGAATTGATGGACGTAAAGGCAGGTTTATAGATCAGATATTTTTCTTTGAAAGGCAGTGTCGAATCGATAATAGATTCAACAATGAAAACGCTGTTAAAATATTTTAAATGGCACTAGAAGAGTGATTCAAATCCATATTACATAACAAAGGTACGTGTTTACAGAATATGTAATTTTTTATCATACACGAAAAGTAAAAAGAAAACAACTTATTGTTTCCAGTAAATCGGAGGATCTCAAAGTTTTTAACCGCAACTCGAAGAAGTTAATGGCAAACCCGCAGCGCGCAGATTTTCCCTTCAGCCCGTCGGCTCCTAGACCCGGACATTTGGCAAGCCTAACCGTGAGGCTTACTTTTACCTTACTTATTTATGAATATATACAGCAGCGTCAAATATATGAATACCCAGACGTTTCGTTATTTATATTTTCCATACCAAATGTTTCTTGTTTTTTTATAAAAATAAAGTAAGTGCAACAGCAAAAACCAGCAGAATTAATTTTGTGTGTTGGTGATGGTTGATTTTTCCGACAGGGTGGTAAGATGATTTATTTTGGAACGAATTTCCGTCATCCCTTGTCAAGTTTGGTTTGCAGACAAACCGGTTTCGGCGTTGTGCCATCTTCAGTGTCATTTTTCGTTCTGTCTGGTTCGAGATTTGTCCCTAATTTATGTTCATTTATCTTAGGTAATGTGATTTTCGTCGATGATTAATTACTAAATATGCCATGGTGCCCATTTTTTTGAAGCAGGTAATAGGTTCATCTTCGCTGTTTCGATATTAACATCCATTAT